ATTGGTTAGCACTGTTATAGTAAGAAGGTTTCTGGCTCAGACCTCCTGGCCGGCTGGATTCTGTGCGGAGTTTGCATGCTGTCTCCTCCCACAGTCCAAAGACATGCATGTTAGGTTAATCTGTGATTGGCCATAGGTGTGAATGTAAAAGTGTGTGATTGTCTGTCTCTCTTTTCGAACCCACTGACCAGTGACCTACCCTGGGTCTACCATGCGTCTTGCCTAAACTCATCTTGGGTGGGCTACAGCCTCCCATCAACCTTCAACTGGATAAGCAGTTAAGGAAATTGATGGAGCGATTTATGGATGTACACTAAACGATCTAACGAGTTCCATTTTTCTTTGAAGACTACTTCTGACAGAGGTGACAAGATATGATGATATATTGGGCTAAAAGCTTTTAGGTTGCTCCTAACTCTGCCGGTAAATACTTTTAGCCTTTGGATGTGTTGTGCATGCAGCCGATCTACAAGCAGCTGCGCCTTTACACTGACATCTAGTGGCTCTGAGCTGTACTTACATTTTTACTTGGAAACGCCATCCTCTTTGATTTTAGCCATCATTTTGTATCTTATTTAATGCATCAAGCCAGATGCTATAGGATGTTGGATCATTAAACCTTACACCAGTGGTATTTAAATGACATGTCAGATCTCTGGGTCAGCTGTCTGTTCAGCCACACTGAGCTGTAGATCATGACATACGTGTTGTGTGACAGTTTTGTTTGTTGTGTAATCCTCAGCCATTCCCCTGACTGCATACGGACCAATGGCAGCAGCTGCAGCAGCCGCCGCGGTAGTTAGAGGTATGTCCCTGTTTGTCTGCGAAAGAGTGTGAACAGCAGGAGTGTGTGCATGTTTACAAATTTGCATGCTCGCCTTACTCACAATGAGCGCGTGCGTGATGGCCTGGTTGGAGAAATAAAGGAATATTTTTAGACATGTGCATGTTTCTATGCGTGTGTGTGTGTGTGAGAGAGAAAACCCTCCAGTGTTTAAGACTGACTTGTCTCTCCTGCCTCTCAGGCTCCACCCCTTCACGCACAGCTGGCTTCCTGGGCACCAGCAGCCCTGGACCAATGGCTGACCTGTACGCTGCAGCCAATCAGGACTCAGGAGTCAGCAGCTACATCAGTGCAGCTAGCCCCGCCCCCAGCACAGGGTTCAGCCATGGTATAGGGGTAGGTCACATGCTCCCTTCCTCACCCACCAACTCAGACTTACATGCATGCATGAATGCACACGTGTGTTGACAAAGCTGCTAGAAGTGTATTCATCTTTGCCTCTATGTGTGTGTATGTGTGTGTCCTCAGGGTCCTCTGATTGCTACTGCCTTCACTAATGGCTACCACTGAGAAGTCTCAGGTCACCGAGGGATGGGAGGGCGTCTCCTCTGCTGATGAGCCAATCACAATGCTGACTGCCCACTGATGGCACAACCTGATTGGCCGGCCACCGGCTCTTTACCGGGCTCTCCTGGCTCCATATGGCTCCGCCCACCGACTGAATATCTTTTTAAATCCAGAACTCTTGTTTCTGCTGTACTAATCTCACTTCAACATAACTTCCCTGTTTTCTCCTCTTTTGTCCTCATCATGTAGTCTAATAACTAGAGCCCACCCCCTCTCCCCCCTCAGTTATCCATTTTTTTCCTTTTGAAGCTGAGAAAAAGAAACTGCAAAAAAAAAAAAAAAAAAAAAATCTCCGAGGAAACATTTGTCATCGTTGACAAAGACACAGACAACTATTTTGAGTTTTTATTATCGTCATTTTAAACTTCACTTCCATCGTGAATCCTTCCCAGCTGTCGTGCTGATGTTAACAGAAGCAGAAAGAAGGCAAAAAAAAAGAAAGCTGTGCGAGATGAGATGGGTCTCAAAGCCGTTTTTAACAAAGGAAGAACAAATCCAACACAGTCCTTTTTTTAACTCGAGTCTCACGGAAACATGGAGGGAAAAAAACAAACAACCAACAACAACAACAAAAGTTAAATGTATATTTTGGTAGTCTCTAAAAACAAACAAAAAAAAAACCTTTGTAATATTGTTATTAATATTGACATAATAATCTGTAAGGTATTTTATTCTGTAATTGGTTTTAAAGCAATGTTTTTATGTCTTCCTGTAAAATATTGTAAATAGACATTGGGTGAGGTAGGGTGGGTGTGGGATGGGTGTGGGAGGGAGGGGTCACTGAACCGGCTGGCATGTCATTGGTTGGTTTGGAAAAGGGTTAACAGCAATTTGACTGGATGTCATTTACTACTCTCTGCGGTCATCTCACTACTTTTATGGGTATGCATACGCCATTATGTGTACACTGTGGGGCAGTCCACTCTAGCGTCACTTCAGCGCAACGCTATCCAGGATAGCTGTTGGCGAATAAACTTCCAGGAGCTTGTCTGACATATTTTTTTTCAGTTGACACATTTTTGTTTGTTTGTTACCAGGTCATATTTTTGTTTGTTGGATTTAAGTCTTTCAAAAAAAGAGAGAGAAAAAAATAAGCGAATTTGTCTCTTGCGTCTTCGTGGAAAACAGTTTATGAAACCACGATGGGACTTTGGATGATTAACAACTTTAAAACAGGAGAAATAAGGGGTTTCTGGCGATTTGGGACTTCACTTCCTGATTTTTGAAAATATTATATATATATTTTTTTGCGCGTTTCTCTTCTTAATGTTTTTGTTTATTTTAATTCTTTTAAGAAAATTCTTTTATGCGGTGTTCTCCACCGTGACAAACAAATGAAGGACATTCTCAGAGAAGCAGTTGTAGAAAAATCACGATCATGTTCTTTCCTCTTATCACTATTGAAGGTGCATGTGATTGCGTCTGCGTGTGTGCGTGCGTGCGTGCGAGTGAGTGTTTGTGCGCATACATCAAGGTGTAATATGGAACTACTTTCGTCAGCGAAGGAGCGTTTTGATTGCCTTTTTTTCCTTTGGTACTGAGAAAAAAAACAACAACGTTTGCCCTGCTCCATTTGGGTTCATCTGCTCTTCTCCCCCCTGACTCTCTCCCATTCCACACTTCGTTTTAATAAATTTGTGCACCTCTGGAACCAACAGATAACTGTTTATATATAGTTGCTGCTCAGTGTGGTGGTGAACAGACAGGGTTTTGGGCAGGGAACCAGAAATGGAACAGGGTCTCGCTCCCAGTCGGCTCTGATACGGGGGCCTCAGTACAAGACGGCGCTGGCTGGCAGGAAAAGTCAAAAAGCTGGAACAAATTCAACCTTTGCAAAAACAAGTAGCCTGTTTGTTCAGCCTTCTTGCTGCAGCCTGTTTGATGTTCAGCACAGCAGAAAACTTCCTGATCCAGCCAGTAGTTCCTCTGTCAGACGGGCTGGGACATGATAAAAGAAAAAAAAAAAAACTACTGCTGGACACCAACACTGTAACTTTTTAACTTACAATAAAGCAATAAGTTATTTTTTACCTTACAAATGAAAATAGTACTATTATTGGTAATAGCAGACGACAAGTGGATAATTCTGCGGCATTAAGACTTATTTTCAGAAAAAAAAAGAAACTATATTTTTCTGTTTTGAGATCTTGTTCCCCTTGTATATTGATTTTAATGATGTCTTTTGTTGTGCTGTTGTAAGGAAAAGGGCCAATGCTTTGAATGGAGTTTGTAGCTCTACATGAGCTCGGTTAAAGTTTAAGATTTGGGCTGTCCCCCGCCAAGCTTTACAGCAATGCTTTTCTTTTTTTTTCTTCTTTTTTTTTCTTTGTTTTTTTTCCTGACAGTTTCAATTTGAAAATCCTAATAAATTATTCTAAAGTGTTTGTGACTCCTTTTTTTTTTTTAACCCAACATTTGTTCACATGCGCACTGAAGTCATGTGAACTGACCTGCGTGTTTGAAATCTTAAGAGCAAATGCCACCTCTTAAATTGGTATACTGGCACAAATAGTCGGCGTGTGTAACTGCCAAACTTCAACTGCTGAGGCTGAAAAATGAAGCCAAAACACGAGTGCCAAAAGTTGCAGTTCACAGAATGGCCATTTGAGGCTGGATTCGCTCCCTTAATCAAATGCACAACCTTACAGTAGGGATAAACATGTTTGCAGCCTGGTGCGAAAAACATTTTGGTCTGTGTTAATTTAAACTACTAAACGCTGGACTGTGAGTCATTCCAACATATAAACTCCACCTAACTCCAGTGATGAGTGACAGAGAATCCTATCTTTAGGCACATTGTTACTAGCAGCCTGTCACAAAAACACATAATTCGTTCCCATTTTTTAGTTGACTCTATAAAAAATACCAAAGGTAACATAGATTGACAGACATAGACATATTTTGGCACCAACACCGTGATTCCCAAGCCGCTATTATCTGAAAACTTGGCATATCTCAGCAAGGTGTGCTGCATGTCTGTAAAAAATTTGTTGAAAGCGGTGGAGGACAAAAAAGGAAGTGGCCTAAAGAACTATCTACAGCAGATGAATAATACCTGAAAGTCATGTCTATAAAAAACAATTCAGCCAAGACCTGACATAGGACCTAAGAGATACAGATCTTGATCTACTGTTAGCTGAAGCCTCATCAGAAATGGTCTCAGTAGAAGGAAAGCTGTCAAGAAGCCATTTTTAAGGAAGGAAAACAGAGAAAAAACAACTGGCATGAAAATCTGTCAAGCATGGTGGAGGCTCTGTCATGGTTTGGGGCTACATTTCAGCCAGTGGTGTTGGGTATCTTGTCACACTTGATAGAACTACAAGTGCAGAATAATAAAGTTACATTTTGACCCACCACAAAGACTCCTGTAGACTACTGAACGAAACAACAAGAAGTCTTGCAAGAAGTCTGCATCCACTTTTACCTGTAGTCTATGAAAGTCCTCCCAATTTTGGTGGGTTGAAGTATTCATAGCTTTCCCTTCAGTAGCAAATTTAACAACAGAACTTTCACCAAAACTGCATGGATAGAGTTGACAGAGTAAACAAATACAGTGAATATGCCTGAAGGACTTGTTCCCATATTCATAATTTTCACGGTCTTTAACCCGACAAACTAAAAAACAGGGTGCATTGTTTCATCAGAAGTTCCATGCATGTGTCGTGCTGTGCTAACAACATGAATCCATCTTGCAGTGCAGTGACTATGTTTGTGTGGGCTGCCAGCAGTGGTAAACAGTCTGATCCCTCACACTTCTATCAGGGTCAGAGTTCTGGATGGAGGCCAGCAGGGTTAGTGATCCTCTCCCAGCTCTGCTTCGCCTTCTCTCCCTACAAACTTCATTTTTTCCCAGCTTTGAGGAAGGATTAGACCCGGTATACAAGACCAGACTTTTCAAGCTGAGTTTTAAGCTGTTGGTTTCATTATTTTTTTCCAAAGTTAAAAGTTAGACTTAAACGCCCTCCTGCTGTATTTAGAACACTCTTTTAGCTTCTGTTTTTTCTGTAACATTTTAAAATTTTGGTTTTTCACCTCTTGCAGTCAGATTCGATGGCACTTGGAGAGCTAAATCCACAGTTAAAGAGCTCCTTAAGTGGGAGCGAATTTTTCGACAGTGGTTATGTAGAGGAACTACCACCTCCTCTTCAAAGCTACCTTTGTTTGACCATTTTTACATGCTTTTGTCCTGCATACCCCGTCAACATTGTGGCTTTGGTCTTCTCTATCATGGTAAGTATAAACAATAAAACTTGATGGGGTTTTAATATTATGTCAGACCATGGGCGGGCAATTAATTTTCCCAAGAGCCCACAGCTAACGACTGATAGTAGCATCTACTCTTACCAGTAGCAGTTTATAAAGAGATAAATACTGAGCAGAGTTCAGCTTATTGCTCTGGTCTTCCACAACAGTTCCAGTGTGTCACGTGGCCCCTTGGGAGAATGAATTGCCCACGCCTCTGTGTTAGACTATGCATGCTCTGTGCTCTAATATTAAGGAAATAATGAGTCAGAGAGAAATGAAACATGTTCTTGTCCAGGCTGCTTTAAATGTAACGCTTACACAGTGTTCTGATGTGCTGGACCCTAAGATGTAACCCAGTCACACAGACACCTGCTCTGCCCATCAAACAAACTTACTTCATCTTCCGCTTTGGAAAATTACATTTTCATGCTGCCTGTTGATGGAAATAAACTTTCACTTGGCAAATAAAAAAAAACAAAAAACAAAACCACTGATTAAACTTTTTTCATAGACTTTTCAGAGAGCTCTGCGTACCACATTTTGTGTTTTTAGCAGGTTTGCCGGTGAGTTTTTATGCTCTACAGTGATTTCTCTCTTCCAGTCTAGAAACAGTTACTACAGCGGAGACTACGAAGGCTCCAGGCGGCTGGGCAGGAACGCGCTCTACGTGGCTATTGCCTCAGTCATCATCGGGCTTCTCATCATCGCCATCTCCTGCACTGTTCATTTTACCACAGTAAGACAGCCTCAGCACTGTTACCACTCATAAAAACTTCTCAAGCGAATTTCTAAAAACTTTATATTGGAATATTGCAACTATAACTTCAGACATGACCCTACACATAGCTAATTTCATGAGTTATGTTAGTACTATTATTATTGTCATGCGTATTAGTGAAAGTCAAGTCAATGATTTTTGACTTGACTTGAATGAGGGTGACAAATACAAGCCTAATCTTTTATTGGAACCTTAATATTACAGAGTAAAAGGTCACATTAAATATATATAATATAGACTGCTCAAAAAAATTTAAAGGAACACTTAGATCTAATGTGTTAGGAATAAAAGGACGCCACATCGTTTGATGGTACTGAGTAGCTCGTGTAGCCCCCCACGTGCTTGTATGCGTGCCTGACAACATCAGGGCATGCTTCCAATGAGATTGGAAGATCTGGATTAGGACATCACTGAAACTGTGGACAGTCTGAGATGCAATCTGGTGGCACTGGATTGTCTGAAACATAATGTCCCAGAGGTGATCTGTTGGATTTAGATCAGGCAAGTGTGGTGGCCAGTTAGTGGTATCAATTCCTTCCAGGGAACTGCCTGCATACTCTCACCATATGAGCCTGGGCATTATCGTACACCAGGAGGAACCCAGAACACTGCACCAATATAAGGTCTGAAATGTGTCCAAGCATTTCATCCCGATACCTAATGGCAGTCAGGATGCCGTTGCATAGTCTGTAGAAGTCTGCGTGTCCCTTGATGGATATGCCTCCATCACTGACCCACCACCAAACTACTTATGCTGAAAATTGTTACAGGCAGCATAACATTTTTCAAGGCTTCTCCAGACCCTTTCATGTCTGTCACATGTGCTCAGGGTAAACCTGCTCTAATCTGTGAAAAGCACACGGCGCCAGTGGTGAACCTGGCAATTCCAGTATTTTAGGCTAAATGCCAGGTGTGCTTCATGATATTGGGCAGTGAGCACAGGGCCCACTAGAGGACGTCAGGCCCTCAAGCCACCCTCATGACAACTGTTTCTGATTGTTTGGTCAGAGATATTCACACCAGTGGGCTGCTGGAGGTCATTCTGTAGTCCTCATTCTGTTTCTTCTTGCACAATCGAGCAGTTACTCCTGCTGACGGGCTAAGGACCTTCTACAGCCCGGTCCAGCTCTCCTGGATTCTCCTCCAAGCTTTTGAGGCTATGCTGAAGGCGCCTAAAGGTGCATTATATTGTAAGGTGGACCCTACAATAGTACATACAGAGAAAAACCCAACAATTATACGATCGCGTATGAGCAAGCGCTTTGGCCACAGTGGGAAGGAAAAACTCCCTTTTAACAGGAAGAAACCTCTAGCAGAACCAGGCTCAGGGAGGGGCGGGGCCATCTGCTCCGACTGGTTGAGGTGAGGGGAGAAAGAGGGCACAAAAGACATGCTGTGGAAGAAAGACCGAAATTAATAACAAGTATGATTCAATGCAGAGAGGTGTATAAACACATAGTGAGTGAGAAAGGTGACTGAAGAAGAAATACTCAGTGCATCATGGGAATCCCCC